AGATAAATATTATGGAATAAAAAGGAGATATTTTTTTAAATTATCGTTGTGCTTTACTTAAATCAAACTTTAACTAGATTGAGATTAGGGGTGACAAAATTAAATCTATCTTGCTTAACCCGTCCAACCCATTTAGCTTAACCCATTTCAATCTAACTCAATTCAATCCATTAAAAATGGGTGGATATGTAATTCAAATTGACTCAAAATCTTGTCAAAATATTTTTAGTTTTTTAATTTTTTTTGTATATGTTACATATAGCCACAGTAAAGAAAAAATAATAATTTTATTAGGTACTAAAATAATTAAAACTTAGTAAAATTTGGATTGGATCTTGACTTGTTTCATAATTTATTACCTAATTCATTTTGACCCGAGAAAAATTAGATTTGGGTTGGTTCTTGACTCATTTTTTGTGTCCTTCTTAGTGAGAGACTTAATGAACAAAACTAAATTGAATAAAATGAAGAAGCAGATTGTCACCCTTTTCTTCACGTTTATATTCCTCTTGACCGATGAGTTATCCACTCTATACTTGGATTGAATGAAGAAGTAAAATTGTGTTTCCTTACTGGTTCAATTGTCTCATCTTGATTGCCAAGGTATTCTTTTGAGAAATTAAATTGAAATAATGAAGAGAATGAGGATATCTCATTTTATAGTTTGCTTTTAGATTAAATTTTGTTTGCAAACTATAAGTACTCTCACCACACTTTTTGTGGAATTGAACCCCAACCTTATTGGGTTGCTATATTTTGACAACAACTACTAAATTCTCATTTGATGATATAATTTGGGCAATATCATCTTTTCAAAGTAACTGATTTTAATTTTATTCGATATTCTCCACATCTTCACATTCACACTAGTAGACTCCTCTATTCAAACAGTTCTCAAAAAGTTAATGAAGAGCAATCAAATTCAGGACTATTTAATTTAATAAGCACATATCTATAATTTATAGATTTTGACCAAATAATTTAAATAGTTCTCACAAAGTTAATGTGATACACTAAAAAAATTAAGTTGGCCATTAAGTTGAGAGGGTATTTATTAGTTTTCTTAGAAAAATAACAACGACTAATATACTTAATTAGTTTTGCTCTAATTTTTTTTGTTTATACACAAAAAAGATAAATTGAATTAAATGAAGCAATCTATAAATCAATTTTTCTCTCGTGTTTTTATTTTTTATTTTTTACAGTTGAGCTATTTTCTTGAACAACTGAGTTAGATATTCTAGCATGAGGAGTAAAAAAATAATCTAATATTTACAACTTTTAGGAAGATTAAAAAAAGTATAGATATGCAAAAATATTTATCTTATATATATTTGTGACGGTCCACCCCACTTGTGATATTGTCTACTCTGGCCCTAGGCCCGCGCGGCATTTTAACGTGTCACTAGTTGGTAAGGTCTGCTAACTTATATAACCAACACTCTATTATATTTTTTTGATGTGGGACTTTTTATCTTAAGCATGAGCGTCACATACACCCCTCTATTGACTCAACGTCCTCGGTGAGATTTGCCCAACCGAATGAGATTTGCCTAGACTCAACACTGAGGTTTGGTCTGCCCTACTGAGATTTGCCTAAACTCAGTTGAAATATGCCCACATAGACAAGGCTGACACATAAGTGATTCTGATACCATTTGTAAAGGCCTAGCTTGCTAGTGATATTGTCCGCTTTGGGCCTAGGCTCGCACGACTTTAAAACGCATCACTAGTTGGTAAGACCTCCTTACTTATATACCTAACATATATCCTGTGTTTTGTCTATGTGGGACTTCTAATCTAAAGATGGGGTATCACATACACCCCCTCTATGGACTCAACGACCTCGCTAAGATTTTCCCCACCTCACGGGATTCGCCTAGACTCAATACTGAGGTTTGCCCTACCTTATCGGGATTTGCCTCAACTCAGTTGCAATCTGGTTCGCATTGATAAGGATGACACATGAGTGACTTTAATACCTTTTGTAATTGACCAGCCGGCTAGTGATATTGTGCGTTTTAGGCCTAGGCCTGCACGACTTTACAACGCGTCACTAATTTGTAAGACCTACTTATATATATACCCAATATCTCTCCTGTGTTTTGTCGATATGTGACTTCTTATCTTAAGCTTGAACATCACAATATTATCACTTTTCAACAAAGGGAATCGATTGAACCACATCCTAATATATATAGGTATCCCCGCTACTGCCCTTGAAAACTACATTTGTTCAGTTTCAACAATCCAAGTTTACATTTTGTTATGATAATAATGATATTTAAGAGAAGAGAAAATAACCAAAATGATCCTTAATTTATGTGTAATGCTTTATTTTGGTCCTTAATATATTTTAGTTGATTGAAATGATCCTTATTGTATAACAAAGGTGTTCATTTTGATCTTTAATATATTTCACTTGTTTGAAATGGTCCTTTAATGTATACCAAAAGGTGTTCATTTTGGTGTTTTACCCTAAACCTAACATGTATATAAAAGATAACTTAAATGTAACTATTGACCCTACATGAATAACAAAATTCACCATTGTTGTCTTCTTTGCTAGCTCCAAAGAAAGAACTCCATAAAATCTAACACCATTTTCTCTACTTTCTCTAACAAATTTTACTATAATCTCTTTCCTAAAATATTATTCCATTGACCTAATACCCATTTCTGGTTTAAGTAAGAGAAAATAGTAAATTTTGATAGAGAAAGTAGAGAGAATGATGTTAGATTTCGTGGAGTTTGTCTTTAGAGTTACAAACAAGACAATAATGATGAATTTTGTTAGCCGTGTGAGATCTACAGTTAAATTTAACACTTTTTATATATATGAAAATTTATTATTTAAGTAGTAGGATTTAAAATAGAAAAAGCAAATATGTCCTCCATTTGAAGTGAAAGAGCTTGAATTGTGACACATGTTAGGATGCACCTGAATCTATTGTTTAAGTAGTAGGATGTAAAACAGAAAAAACATGAGAAAATATGTTTTAAGATTGTACCAGTCATTGATTTACATTAATTATAAGTCCTCCACTTGTGTTTGTTGCCTCTTTCCATCCACATTTGTTTGATCATGTGAGCCAATTGATTGTAATATTGCTCATTACTAAAGTTCTGATTGAAGGCAACAGTATCACCATAGTTGTTGTCTTCTTTATTTTCTTAAATTTCATGTCAAGTTAAACTAGACCAACGGAGGGAGTATTACCTAAAAGCAACACAACTTAACATGAAGTCCGTAATTTATTTATTGATTGATTAGACAATCTACATATGGACGTCATACAACCAACTTAACTAGTTTCAAATCACAATGAAAGTAGCATAGACAAAAAAAAAAAAAAGATACAACAAGAACATGAAAAGAACCTACAATTCCATCCAATTGTAGCAAATTCATGTTGAGATTTCATCGTCTAGATCATGATAGGGTGTTCGTTTCCTTAAAGGAAAATATACTGACCATTATGAAGAGCGCATGCACAATTTTGAGCACCAATATCATCTGCAACACAAGGAGGCTTAACGCTTCCATCTTGGTACCACATTTTTCTTTTTTGCACCAAATCAATGAAGAAATCGTCTAATGTTTCTCTTGTGATACTTGGCATAACAATAACATGTGCGATATCCCTCACGCAAGAGAGTTGCCAATGACGAGTAAATTCATGATCAAGAGGCCTCTCAAGTACAACTATAGTGCTCAACTCATTAAGCATGACACTGATATTTGCTTGCTGAAGACAATCTTTCAAATATCTAGCATTGTAGAGGCATCTCTTAACATCTTGTTGTATCCCAATTTGATTTTTTGAGCTTAAACTATACCACAAAAAAATTGGAGTTAAACCATTTCGACTTCCAGAAATTGTGGCATCCACAGAAGCAATGTATTCCACATTTCTCGAGAGATAAGCGATGTGACTTTTTCTTGTTATTTGAACTCCACAAGGAATTGGACATCCTAAGAACTTGTGACCTGATATTGTGACACTCCCAATTGGCTTCTTAAAGCTAATCACCTGTTTTCAATTAATTGAATTCCAAACAATCAAAATTTTACTTTTAATTGTAGTATATATCCTTAAAGTGTTTGCTGGACATGTGTTGGAAAACTCACATTTTTAATGAAAGGGACAATAAGTCCACTTAGTGCTGCATCACAATGGATGTAAAACTTATTATGGGAATAACCACAATCTTCAAGTGTTTGAAGAATAACATCAATGTCATCAACAGCCCCTTTGAATGTAGTTCCTACCATTAAGAAAAAGGCTAGGCTAGAGCTCTAATTAAGAGAATGAGATAATTAATTAAAGAATGAAATAAATATGAATATTTACCAATGTTAATATTTATAATTGCTGGTTTGTCCTTGTTATGAAGCAATTTTGCTCTCAAATCAGAATAATCCATTTCTCCATTTGTTGTTGTGTTGATCATTTCCAAATCTATTCTGTACAATCTTGCAGCTTTGAAGACTGAATAATGAGAATCTTTTGATGTGTATAAGATTCCATTAGGAAGTAATTCTCGCCTACAAAGAAAATATTATTGAGTTAATTTAAAAAAACTAAAAAATTAAGAACATTATTATATTTTACTTTCTGTCATATCAACTCTTAATATTACTAATTTGTCACCATTCACTACAAATTTTGATATTCCAAAATAGCTATAAAGTACGGAATTTTAAAAACTAAATTGGTGATCTTCTTTTTGCAATTTATTATAAATGTGCTAGCACAAACTTATATATGAATGCCTCACAAGACATGTTGGGACCACTAATTTAGCAATTGACACATCTTGATAATATGTAGGGAAATTAATCAAAGCACACAAGACTCAAGTAGATAGTTAGATGTGACTTTGGGCACAATATTATCCATGTGGTTACATATATAGTGTAGTTTTTGTACAAAGACGTATCAATTAACCTCTTTTGAATACATTAGTGTAGGTCCATTTAGGAATTGGAAATGCTAACAATGGTAGATATAGATATTGTAATAACTTAATTGCTGTTAAATATGTTTTTTTTAGAGGTAATTAATATTTTTTTTAAATGTTCCTAAAGTCTATAACAACATTGGATCCAATGACAATGTATTAACTAGTGTAGATAAAGACTTTAATACTCTTTGTTAATGTACATATTTATTGCCGGTAAAAATCGTTTTTATCATCGTGATAGTAGATACTTACCCTATCCAAATTCCATGAAGATTGCCTTCTGTGCCACCATGAGTAACATAACCCCAATATTCATCCTTCTCAATTTCCCATAATTTGGCAAACCAATCCAAAACAGCCACTTCAAAATCTTTTGAATGAAAATCCACAGGGTTTTCCGTGAAAGGATCACCACAATTATTTAAGTGAAATTGCAAAAGTGGAGCTAAAGCAACGTGGTGATCATAACATATGTTCTCTGGAAAACCTAGAGAGACAAAAGGATCAATTATATAATTCACAAATTAATCTTTAATTTTCACATTATAAATTAGTACTACATCTATAAGCCTTTCACGTATTGCATTCGTTTGTAAGGGAATCCCTACGTTTGCTTTCATTCAATGTTTTTGTGTCAAATTTATGAACTAGATAATAATTTACATGAAAGATAGAAGATCAAATGAAGGAGAATAGTAAAATATTACCAAGATGATATTTGACTCTTTGTGTAAGTGTCTTTAAATAATTATCCAATATATCGTCAGGTGAAGAAACACCACTTCCCAACCCAGGCTCTATCACTGCTAGTTGCAATTTCTTTCTTGGCCCTGGTGGTGTCACCTTTACTACTGTCTTGATGTTGCCATTGACAATATTCTCACTTGGAAGAGATGACACTATTTTGCTCATCATTTTAGTGCAAAACTTAGATCACCAAGAGAATGAAGAAATACACAAAAGAGTTTTTAAAGGAGGCTTTTGGATTGCTTGCAGATTGCTTGCTCTTGCTTTGTTCATTTACAAATGAATGCCCCTGTATTTATACTACACACTTTGGGGCTAAAGTTTAAATAAAAATTATACACAAGTCCCTATATATGTACTAGTAGCCCCTCTTTTAGAATTCTGTACAAGTCTAGAGATTTCTAAGGACTTCAAAGAATTCTTCTCGAGTATTCTAGAATCTTCTCCAAACCTCTCCAAGACTCTAAATTCTTCCATAGAGTCTTCATCTATGCTATTACCTGTTGAGATATAATATAAATACGCACATGGTAATATATATATATATATATATATATATAACATTTTGTTAAATAAGACGATCATTTAATTTGACATTACCAATTTCATGTGCTATACACTTTACAAGCTCAAACTCAATCTCAGAGGAAGCTGGAAAACCAGCCTCAATTACATCAACTCCAAGCTTGACTAGTTGACGTGCAATGTCCATCTTTTATGTAGCCGTCATGGAGGCACCAGGAGCCTGCTCTCCATCACGAAGCAGCGTGTCGAAAATTGAAACATAGTTAGGATCAGAGAATTTGTCCAAGCCATTAACAAGAGTGTTCTTAGAATTTGCGTAGAGAGAAGCCATTTTTTTTTCCTTAACTGTGTGCTTGGTGTGGGATTTTTTTATAGGCAAGAAAATAGCAAAACATTGATATCATGTTACAAATAATTTAAGATTATAAACTTTGAAAAAGGTTTGATAGGGTACAAGCGGGGTAAAATAAGCGTGTTGAGTTGAAACTTGAGATATTAAAATGAATTGAAATAGAAATCAGGTTATGTCATGCCCCGCTCAATCTCAATAATTTTATAACCACAATTTAAATTTCAACTCAAAAAATAGAAAAAACAAGTTATAAATAAATAGATAAAGCTTAGAAGATATAAAATAGACAGTAACTCATACCTTCAATATGAGAACACACACTACACGAATACAAATAAAGAGTCTTAAAATGAATTGAAATATGAGACTAAATTGAGCCCAATTGAATATTCTATAAAAATGAATTACGGCTTGAATGAGTTGATATTAGGGATGACAATGGATCAGATGGGGTGGAGGTTTGAGCTTAACCGTGAATAATTCAACCCACCCAGCTCTACCTCACATAGCAATTTTAAAAAAATTTAACCAACCTTTTTGGAGTTTCCCAGGTCTGTTTTTCTAAGCTAATCAATGCTCCCCTGGCTATAGAATTTATAAAAGTTAGAATTTCAGTTCTTTCCTTCTCATTTTGGTTTTCTTCTTTGTTTCAAAGAATCAATTTTGCTTTTTGATATTTATTCTAGTACATCCAATTTTATCTTATTTATCACCTCAATAACTAAACGTTTCTGATTAATCAAATCACTTTTGGCATAAATAATTAAAAGATTTGGACTTAAATCATAAAATGTTAATGAAATGGTAAGATTATGCTTTTTTAGGACTCAAAGGGAGTCATAGAAATGAGAAATTAAAATGATAAATGGTTTGTAATGATTCGGTTGGTCATTTTTGAAACTTTTTGTAAAATAACTATTTTATTTCCGATATCGATCCCGAGTATTTTTTGATTGAGTTTTGAAAGTTGGTTTCTAACTTTGAGTGAAAGTTGTGAATTTTGTAAGTTTTTTTGAGTCAAAAGGCTAAAATTGTTAAGAAGTGAGTTTTAGTGTCTTTTGGAGTTCCGAGTATCGGAATAGAATTCTATCGATTCCGTCAGTCCTGAAATATGGAAATTGGTCTAAGAGAGTTGTCGGTTTCAAATTCGGAGTCTTTTTTAAGGATTTGAGGTCCTAAGTTGGAAATTATTGAAATTTTAGCTCTTGGGTTGACTTTGGTCAACATTCGGGGTTCAAATACTTGGATCAGAATTTTGAGAGTTTCGTTATATTTAGGGGATAATTTTAGGCCTAAGTGAGGTCTTGCTTGAATTTTCAGAGGTTTCAATCTTGATTTAGGCTTTTTAGGCGTTATGTTCATTTTTTGTGACTAGCACAAGTTTCGGGTCAAGGAAATCTTAGATTCGTATTTTGATGGTTCCATTGAGTCCGAAACGTCAAGTTTAGTCAATTTGCATATTTTGTTTGTGTGTACGAGGTTCCAAACAAATCCCGAAGGTCCATTCGATATTTTGAGAGTTGACTAGTTTTTCTAGTGCCCGAATTCTGTATCCTTCACGTTTGCAATAAGCCTTCCGCTTTAGCAACCTTCGCTTCAATGAAGGCGTGATCAGAAAACTAAAGGCTAGCTTTTCTCTGGGTTCGCTTAAGCGGATCCTGGTTCCCAAAAGCGAGACACCCATTTTAAGCGGGGTTCGCTTAAGTGACATGTGAGAGGGTTTGACCTGTAATTTTAGGGTTTTATCCTATTTTCCCCATTTTTAGTTTTGGAAAACCCTTGGAGGTGATTCTGAAGAGATTTCTTGTGCTAAATCATTTGGGTAAGCCTTTGTGATCCTAAAACTTCATTTCATTTTATCATGTATAGATTTTATTATTTTAACATCAAAACTAGAGATTTTGATTGGCAAAGGGAAATGTTATCAAGAACTTAAGTTCTAAAATAAAATGGTGATTGTGAACTGATTTTAATTCTTTTTTTCGAAATGGCTTTCACCAATGAGTTCCAAATGCCTTGGATAAAATTTTCAAGTAAAGATTTTCGAAATTGAACCTCATTTTCGAAATTGAGTTTGTGAGTTGATTTGACCCATTTTTCAAAATATATGATTTGGTGTTGTTATTTCTGGAATCTTATTGTGATTACTTGATTGAACTAGATTGTGTAGCTTTGGACATTTTTCAGAAAGGGAAGACTCAAGTCTTGGATTGAATTTTGATTGAATTGAGGCAAGTGATCTTCTAAACCTTGTAAAACTTATAGAATCTTGTATTTCCCCTCATTGTGTGTGTTGGAGAGTAATGGAAAGGAGGTGATGGATTCATTTATTTCAGATGATTTATCTTAATGAATAAAATGAAATTACGAAAAAGACAGTGTGTTGATCATAATGCTTTGTGAATTGTTGTGGACTCAAATTTGTTGATTGATGAAAAACCTTGATGACATTATTGTTGACTTAAATTGCTTGATTTGTTGTCTTTTTCATATGGTGTGAAATTGCTTATTTGCATGGATTGTTGAACACCGTGATGAAACGTGTGATGATTATGCCAAAGGGAAATGATTTTGAAAAGTGATATTATATAAAGCCAAGGGAAATGGTTCCGACAAGCGACATTGTATAAAGCTGAAGGAAAATGATTTCAGCTAGTGATATTGTGTCGAAGAAAAATGGTTCCGACAAGTGACATTGTATAAAGTCGAAGGGAAATGATTTCGATTGGTGACATTGTATGCTTGTTGAGTACCGTGTTGTTTGCTCATTGCTCCTTGCTTCTATACTTGTGTAGATTCTGAGTCTAGACCCGTGTGATTTTCTTCTTCTTCCAAGGCTTTCAAAGGACTTTGAGAGGCACCTTCGTGTTATTCCGGCGGGTCCTCTTGTTCCTTATTTTATGTTTTGTTCTATTTTAGAGACAAAGACATTCGGAATTGTACTTATCTTTCAATTCTATATTTATATTAGTGGCTTGTACTCGTGACCATCAGGTTTTGAGGTTATGTTAGAATGACTAAGTTTTCCTTTCTTATGTTATTCCTGATTATTTTTTGCATTTATTTCGTATCGTTGGGTTGAGGCTGACTTGTCTTGGTCGAAATTGTAACTCCCCGAAATTTTTTAAGTTAAGACTGGAACCATTCTTCATTTACTTGTAGGATCATTTTGGGTGATTCTTAAATTGCCCATGTGTAAAAGTAAATGCTTTAGTGTGGGAATGATTTTGGATATCAATTAAGGTCACTAGAAACTCCTAGCACAAAGTTGAGTTGAAAGCTTCCTTACCGATTAAGTTTTGATGTAAGATTCAACTTAGGTCAACTTCAAACGACCATATCTCTTAGAATATAAAGAGTTATGTGGCCCATAACCTATCAAATTAAAGGTATTTGAATCTTCTTTCCAACGCCACCAATTTCGCATCAATCCAAATTTTGAGTAAAAAGTTATGACCATTTTTGTAACTGGATACAATGTTGTGATGAATTAGCCGACGGGAAAACATTAAAAAAGGTCATTTTTTGTCTTTTTACCTCTAAGAAAATCCTAAACGAACTTCTTGACTAATTAAAGACCCAAAACAATCTGATTTTAGTCTCTTAATTCATCATTCTCTTCTCTCTTAAACCCTAAGGCAAAACCCTAAGGAAAAATCAAAGTAGAAGACTCTATTCAAGATTGTTTCAATCTTTTTCAAGATTCTTCTTTAAGGTAAGTCTTTCTCCAAGAATTCCATTCTTTTCAACTCAAATTCCTCCATACAATTATGAATCACTAATGAAAATCATAATTCTTGGCCATAGAGTTTCAAGAAACTAATTGAAGAATCTCAAGAAAGGTTTTCTTGATTGTTTAACTTCAAGCTAGGGTTTCTAGGCTTCTAATCAAGTTTTTCTTCAAGATTCTTCAAGAACCTTGTTCTTTTCTTACAGGTATGTAAGGATATCATAGTGTTGGACTAGTTCATCCTCACATCCCACATCTACTTTCAAATCAGTAAAAGAGTAATCTAAAATTCTATCCCTAGATTTGAGTATTCTTCAGATAAGTTGATTTTGAGTTATTGAGTTCTTGATTCTTTTTTGAAATTCTATTCCTAATTATTGAAATGCTATATGTTATTCATTAAGATTCTTTAGTTGATTCGTTCATGTCTATATTTCAACATGAACCCAATGAATTGAGTGTTCATGAGATGAGTTTCGAGTTCTTAAGTCCTTGAGTTCTGAGTTTCCATATTGCTATTAAGATCCCTGATTTGAGTCGTTCATGTCCATGACTCCGCATGAACCCTATGAATTAAGTTATAAATTTTGAGAAGCTTTTTAAACTGAGTTTTGAGGAAGTAAAGATGAGTTTTGAGAAAGAGTTTCTAAAACATGATTAGTATGACAATGGAGTATGCCATCAATGTTTAAGCAATATGATATCTAGATATACCATCAATGTTTACACAGTATGACTTCCCAAGTCATCAATGATCATATTACAATATTATTTTGAAATATTTTTGAGAAAGAGTTTTCAAGTATGAGTATAAGGGGACTATGTATTCCACATACATCAATTTTTACATTGATAAAAGAGAAACTGAGATTTCTAAATGAGTTATGAGTTCAAAAGTTATTCCAAGAGCAGTTACCTCTTTTAAGAGGGTAGTTTGAGCAATTATCTCAATCCAAAGGAAGCGTTATGTTTTTTTTATCTTAAACATATGAGCATGAGTATATATTTTTGGGAATAGTATTGAGCACCGATATAAGAGAGTGTTCAGACAACTTACAACCCCCATAAATCGTGTATGCCAACATGGGTAAATGGTCATACTTTTTAGATGATATATTATTGCTTTTAAGCATAGCTTAGTGAATCCACTTAGTTGAGGTGTTCTATACCTCGACAAGGTATAAAACAGTTCTGGCAGCTTGGGTGAGACGTTGTATCATCACGTAGCTCATAGTGATGGTTGTCGGTT